TTTTTTTTTTTTTTTTTTCTAATTTTTGTCAGTTTAACTGGGGGTGTAGGTCTGCAGAGCCTCATGCTGGAAAGTGTTCTTATATGCTGATTTCCCCTTTTAATATTATAAATAACTTTTCTCGTCATTATATCATTAGAATTATAGCATCATGGGAAAATACAAAAAAGTAAAGATTAAATGAAATTCTAACCTCCAGTGATTATTGTTCATATTTTGTTGGACATCCTTCACATCTTACAAGCGTATATTCACTGATAGATATATGCATGTAATTTTTTTAAAAAAATTTTTTTTTTCAACGTTTTTTATTTATTTTTGGGACAGAGAGAGACGGAGCATGAACGGGGGAGGGGCAGAGAGAGAGGGAGACACAGAATCGGAAACAGGCTCCAGGCTCTGAGCCATCCGCCCAGAGCCCGACGCGGGGCTCGAACTCACGGACCGCGAGATCGTGACCTGGCTAAAGTCGGACGCTTAACCGACTGCGCCACCCAGGCGCCCCATATATGCATGTAATTTTTACATGTTGCTCTATGGCATGTAAACTTTGTAACGTGTTTTACACACCAGTATGTCTTGAGCATCTTTCCCTGGCAAATTACAGGTTTTTTAAACGTTATATAGATGGCTGTCTAATATTCTAGCTTATAACTATGCTATACGTTTTCTTAATTTCTTGTTGGATGTCTAGATTGTGTCCAGTTATTAGCTTATTTATGAATGCTGCTTGAAGTCTTGCAGCCAAGGCCTTGTTTATGTTACTTATTTCTTTAGGCTAAAGGCTGAGGAATGAAATTATTGGGTTAAAAAATGTGAGAAACTTCAGGGTTTTTTTTAAAAATTTTTTTTTTCAACGTTTATTTATTTTTTTGGGACAGAGAGAGACAGAGCATGAATGGGCGAGGGGCAGAGAGAGAGAGGGAGACACAGAATCGGAAACAGGCTCCAGGCTCTGAGCCATCAGCCCAGAGCCCGACGCGGGGCTCGAACTCACGGACCGCGAGATCGTGACCTGGCTGAAGTCGGACGCTTAACCGACTGCGCCACCCAGGCGCCCCAAAACTTCAGGGTTTTAATGTGTATTTCCAAATTCTCTTTGGGGAAACTACACCCATTTGTTTTCCATTACCACTGAGGGTGACTGTCCACTTTTTGTGTACTTGCCATTGAAACAAAAAACTGAACACTATTAATTAGATATGCAGAAATGGTACTTGATTTAATTTGTGATTATTAGCTAAGTATACCTTTTATCATTTTGGCTATTTGCATATTTTTCCTTAGAGAACTATTTGTTTTCTTCTGTTTCCTCCCCCACCCCCCCTTGGAATATATTAAACAAAAAAACCTGAATAGATTGTTTATATCTAACTGTTCCCAATATAAATTACAAATGTTTTTTCCTGTTGTTTAACTTTTGTTTTATGATTAAAAAAAATAATTCTATAGAGATACAAAATTGAAAACTCAAAGCTGTTGGGTATTTACCTTTGCCTTTTATTTAATTTATATTAAGTGAGTAATTCCCAACCACAGATAAGATGCATACTTACTTATATAGTTCTTTCTGGTTTTTCTTTTTGCTTGTGTGTGCGTATCTTTAAATCAAAAGGGGAATTTATTTTGGTGAATGGTTGTGAGGTGAGGATTTAAATAAATATTTCTTGAGGTGCCTGGGTGGCTCAGTCGGTTAAGCGTCCGATGTCAGCTCAGGTCATGATCTCACAGTCCGTGAGTTTGAGCCCCGCGTTGGGCTCTGTGCTGACAGCTCAGAGCCTGGAGCCTGCTTCAGATTCTGTGTCTCCCTCTCTGTCTGCCCCTCCCCGCTCATGCTCTGTCTCTCTCTGTCTCAAAAATAAATAAAAACATTAAGAAAAAATTTAAATAAATATTTCTTCCCCAAATATCCAAGTAGTTTTCTTAACTCTATTAGATGATCTGTCCCTTCCCCATGGTATGTGATTTTCAGGGTGATCTTGTGTTGTTTTTCTTTAGGCGTCTTGCAGCCCTCCAGAAGAGAAGAGAACTTAGAGCAGCTGGCATAGAAATTCAGAAGAAGAGAAAAAAGAAGAGAGGAGTTGATTATAATGCTGAAATCCCATTTGAAAAAAAGCCTGCTCTTGGTTTCTATGATACTTCTGAGGAAAACTACCAGGCTCTTGATGCAGATTTCAGAAAATTAAGACAACAAGATCTTGATGGGGAACTAAGATCGTAAGTTGCCTTTCTGATTTTGAAAATGGAAAAGTATAGTAGGAATTTTATGGAGGGCCATGCGCTATCCTTGTCAGAGCCAGATTTTTATTATTTAGGACAATGTGACCTACATAATGTTTTTATTTATTTACTGGATTCACGTTTCTGAGAAAACCAGTGACCCTTGTGGTCGTGTCTTTGGCATAGAAGGCTGTTTGCATCTCCTGACACGTCAGCACTTGGCTCTTAGTGTAGTCTTTACTCACTGAGTCACAGTCTTAACGTTGATGTGCATTTGTGAACAAGTTAGTTATTTTACTAAGGGACTGAGGAATCTGTCAAAATCTGGTCTGGTTTTTTGTCTATTCTAGTGAAAATTTTATCTTGTTTTCTTTGAATGAAATTAAAGTTACCGATGCATACCTAAGTCTTTTTATGGGGATATGTAAGTGTATTTATAAAATGTTTGTCTAAAGGTGCAGAGGATTTTGCCTATTTCTAGGGATTTTTAGAGTTTTTTCTATTTCTTCCATCTGAATTTTGTGGGGAGAACTTTTTATGGTTGTCAGAGAAGTTTAGTTTTCTACTCCCCTACTGATTTTCCACTCAGTTGACATGAATTGGGACTAAATGACAGGTGTCGGGCACCATGAAACAGGATTTTCTCGGATGTACTCCATTGTATTTGTTTCTCAAATTAAGACCTTGTATGAGGTAGGCTGTTTGAATAAAGAGGTGGAAGTGGGAGCGGCTCATCTGGAAGGAACAGGCTGGATGGGGGAGAGGCTGATACCCAGACTGGGAGGAGGCATTCTTGGAGCTTTCAGAGGTGGCCTTGAGCCTGGCGTTAGACTAACCATTTGTCAGGACTGAAATATCCTTTAAAAAAACAAGTGAATTAAAAGAATCATAATGAACAATTGAAGAACAGTTTTAAAGGGAAATTTAAAAATTCAGTGTTTTAATCCCATCCCCTTTGTATTACCGTTTTCCGTTTTTTTGTATGCTTGTCTCCATCATTTTCCTAAGTGCACGCATATACTTTTGTAAGAATGTAATCATGATACAGGAGTAGTTTAAGTTTCTTGTTGAAATTATATATAAAATTTTGTTTATAATCATAGTCTTTATGTAGGCTTAATATTTAATATGTAAGTTACTTAGTACTATATCTTCTTATTAATTCTATCGCTATTCTCAGCCTGCATTCCTCTTGAGTATAGTGGGTGAGTAATGGTGTAGGGCACAGCTTAATGTATTTGGATTTTGTCTTTTTATCAGTAATTTTTTTAGGAATGGGATTATTTTGTTCGAAGTGTATGAGTATTTATATGGCTTTTACTGTTATTGTCTATGTGTAACTTTTAAAAATCTCTCTCTGCTTTGATTCATGGTAGGGAAAAAGAAGGAAGAGACAGAAAAAAAGACAAGCAGCATTTAAAAAGGAAAAAAGAATCTGATTTACCATCAGCTATTCTTCAGACTAGTGGTGTTTCTGAATTTACTAAAAAAAGAAGCAAACTAGTACTCCCTGCCCCTCAGGTAATCTAATAATAACAGTTTTTTTATTGTGTGAACTCATATGCTTATAATTTATTTAGCACATGTTTGAAGGGTCTACATGCCAGGCTTTTGCTAGCTGTTGGGTGCCCTTAAGAAATTTACAGTGTAATAGGTGAGCCACATAAGGATAAGTCCTTGTGATTTACTATGATAAGTAACAACTTCTCTGTATAAATCATTATATCTGGCCTTAAATTGCCCCGTGATGGTTTAGTAAGTAATTGTCAGCTTTTAGCAATTTGTGAGCAGGTTAGGGCTCCCGGCCTCTTATTGTAGCCGATTAGGATACAGGTGGTATTTGGCTGTGTGGACTTCAGGCTGCTTTCTTATAGAGAATGTTTTGTTGTGTCATACTTCTCTTTTTGAGACAACAGCTGTGAAAATTAATGTGGGAGATGTGAAGAGAGAAACATACCCTCGTTCAGCTTATCATTCAGCTTATCAAGGAAGAGCCTTCTCTTCCTTTGACTTACTTATAGTTGGTCAGAACCATGGGAATTTTGAAAAAGTTCTTGGTTTATTTTGAATAGTACAGCTCTGTAGAATTGGACTGTTTGGTTTAATGGAGCAGAAGGATGGACTTAGGAGGCCAGAAGAGCTTCTTTCTTTATCCAAATGATGCACTTACGTCAACACAAAATTCTTGGGCATAAACATGACATAATTTTGTCAGATGCTGCCATCCAAGTACTGATATTCCCTTTTTTTTTTTTTTTTTTTTTTTTTTTAAGGTTTATTTCTTTTGATAGAGAGAGAGAGAGAGAGAGAGAGAAAGTGCTCATGTGCCTGAATGGGGAAGGGGCAGAGAGGGAGAGAATCTCAAGCAGGCTCCGCAGTGTGCAGCCCAGCACGGGGCTCAAACCCACGAACTGTGAGATCATGACCTGAGCCGAAATCAAGAGTCGATTGCTTAACTGAGCCACCCAGGCACCCTAAAGTAGTGATATTTCTTAAATTGAGATTTGCCTGTAATTTTTTTTTCTTAGTTCTCTTTGGGATACTTACTTTTTAAAAATTTATTATTTTTTTATGTTTATTTGTTTTTGAGAGCGAGAACAGCTGACTGAGCTGTCAGTACAGAGCCTGACCTGGGGCTTGAACCCACAAATTGTGAGATCATGACCTGGAGCTGAAGTCAGACACTTAACCGACTGAGCCACCCAGATGCCCCTAGGATACTTATTTTTGTAAAATTACTAAGATAATGCTTTTTGATTTTCTCAGGGATCTTATGGCTCAGTGGACTTTGATGTTTTAATTGGTTTTTAGGCCCCCCTCCTTTGATGGTTGTATACAAACGTGATTATTTTATGTTCTTGGTTTATTGATGTGGTAGTTGGTTTGAAAGCATTTCATTATAGAAATACAAGACTTTGCCGCTTGATAGTATATCATATATGGAATTTATCCCCACATTATATGGGGAAGACTTAAAAACTTTTTTGTAGAATTTTTCAAACCCACAATAGTGAAGAAAGTAGTACAGCAAACCCCTGTGTACTCATCACACAGCTTCAGTGATTCGTCTTTCTGGAATATGGAAGTTTTAGGCTGTATTGTTCTTTGGTTAAAATGTTGCTGTATGATGATTTTCAGATTTCAGATGCAGAACTCCAGGAGGTTGTAAAAGTAGGCCAAGCAAGTGAAATCGCACGTCAGACCGCTGAGGAATCTGGCATAACAAACTCTGCCTCCAGTACGCTTTTGTCTGAGTACAATGTCACCAACAACAGCATCGCTCTTAGAACACCTCGTACACCGGCTTCCCAGGACAGAATTCTGCAGGTAAGCTGTCGGATAGTAGAGTGAGGCTTTCACTTCTTGTCCTTGAAAGTGAAGGAGCATAGTAAGTGATTTGGTTTGTTTCTTTTAAAAGGGGTAAACTAGGTCCTAGAGATTTTGTTATTAGGAACCTAAATTAGCAGATTCAATAATGAGGTGATTTCATTTCCACATTTATTCATAGGTTTGTTTGTTTTGTTTTGTTGTTTTGAAGCTAGCCCTTCGAAATCTTTAGTACCTATTAGTAAAGCAAAGCATTTTAAAATTTCACATTGCCTAGCAGTCCTAGAAAGAAGTCAGATGTATGTAGTCAGTAACTTTTAAAATTTCCTTGCATTTCTGTGCTTAGCTTGGCACAGGGTGCCATCAGTAGTTTCCCTCTCCTAAACACATGGGGTATACAGCTCTGTAGGGGGTTTGTATGCCAGAGAATAGCCACACCTAACAAAACACTATTGAACATCCTTACGTCTCATTTCCTCTTCTCTAATAGTCAGAAGTACAATTTTAAGGTCTTTATTGGGAGTCACATGGTTCCTATTAAAACTTAGTAAGAAAAATAGTTGTGTTCCTCATTGCTTGCTCTCTAGAGGCACCAATTACAACTCTGTTTTTACCATCTTCTTGCTTGGACACTTGTTACTTGTTGATTTTATTTTCAGTTTTAGCCACTTCTCCACCTGGGGATTTGAACATTTGGCTCTCCCACCCTTTTGCTCTATCATGCACGCACACTCTTTCTATTCCCTCATTTTCCATTATGGTTATATCATAATTTTGATTAGCTCTGTATTCATGGTTTACTTTATGACTGTGCAAGCTATATTCATTGCTGAGCCCACAAAGTGCCTTATGATTACTTATGATTATGTTTTTTTTTTTAGTTAATACTTGTTCAGATGCTAAATTTTTTGATGACTTAGCACAAATTCAACTCTAGATTGACACTGTGCAAATCTCTTGTAATCTGATCAAATTTTAGATATTCTCAGCTTCTTGAAAAAGTCTTTCTCAGAATTTCTGAGTGTTCTATTCTGGACGATTACTCTTTTATTTTATCTTTTTTATTTTAATGTTTTAATTTTTATTTTTACTTATTTTTTATTTAAAAAAAATTTTTTTTAATGTTTATTTTTGAGACAGAGCGTGAGCGGAGGAGGGGTAGAGAGAGGGGGAGACCCAGAATCCAAAGCAGGCTCCAGGCTCTGAGCTATTGGCACGGAGCCCCACGCGGGGCTCGAACCCACGGACCGTGAGATCATGACCTGAGCCGAAGTTGGACACTCAACCAATTGAGCCACCCAGGCGCCCCACTTATTTATTTATTTTTTTAAGTTTATTTATTTTGAGAGACACAGCAGAGGAGGGGCAGAGAGAGAGGGAGAGAAAGAATCCTAGGCAGGCTCTGTGCTATCAGCGCAGAGCCTGATGCAGGGCTCGAACTCACAGACTATGAGATGATGACCTAAGCTGAAACCAAGAGTTGGACGCTTAACCAGCAGAGCCACTCAGGTGCCCCTATGTTTTTTTTTGAGAGAGACAGAGACAGAGAATGAATGGGGGAGGAACAGAGAGAGAGGAGGACACAGAATTCACAGCAGGTTTCAGGCTCCCAGCTGTCAGCACAAAGCCTGACTTGGGGCTTAAACCCACAAACCATGAGATAATGACCTGAGCTGAAGTCGGTGCTTAACTAGCTGAGCCACCCAAATACCCCTGGACGATTAGATCTTGTTTACAGCTTGTTCTCTTGATTTCCTGTTACTGGCACCCTAGAAAGTCTCTTGGATCACCTCTTTCCTGGCTCCCATGTCTTTGGTTTTTTTGGTTTATGTCTGTTAGTGAAAGGTTACTGAAGCTATGGAAGTTCCTTCAATAACTTTCTGAGGAAGGGTTCATGGCAGATAGAATTTTTAAGACCTTGCATAGCTGTGAATTATTGGTCTATCTATAGTATAACTGGGTATAGAATTCCAGATTGAAATCTTTTTTTTTTTTTTTTTTTTTTTTTTTTTTTTTTGTCTTTTAAACTCTACACCCAACGTGGAGCTTGAACTCATGACCCTGAGATTAAGAGTTGCATGCTCCACTGGCTGAGCCAGCCAGGTGCTCCCAGATTGAAATGGTTTTTGTTTACAGTTTTGAAGGCAGTGCTCCAGTGTCTTCTGGCTTCTATTATAGCTATTGAGATCTCTGCCATTTAGCAAATCCGTTTTTTCCTTTCTCTAGAAGCTAATATGATCTCTTTTTCACATGCATAGTTCTTGGTGTGGGTCTGTTTTCAATCACTCGCTAGGAACTTAGTGATCTTTTCATTCTGGAGATTCCTGGCCTTCAGTTCTAGGATGTTATTTTGAAAATTTTGTTTCCTCCCTTTCATTGGTCTGTTTCTCTTATGAAATAAAATAAGAATTTTCTTATTTATTCCTCTCTGGTTTTCTGTTTTAATTGACCTTTTGACTTCTTGCTAGGAGATTTTCTGTGAATTTTATCATTTTTTGGTTTTTAAATTTCTACAATCACATTTTTAATTTCTAAGAGCTCTTTAAAAAAATGTATTCAGTTTTTAAATGTTTCATTTAGTGAATATTTTGTCTTATTTCTCTGAAGCTATTGATGGTTTTGTTTTATTTTTATGTTTTCTTTTCCCTGTATGGTATTTAAGTTTCTTTTGTTCTCTCTTTTTCATATTGGATGTTTCCTCAAATATCTTTTGATCTTTGGCTCTCTGCCTGTATCTAGGGGTTAAGGGCAGGGCAGTTAAAAGTAGACTAGAAGCTCTCTAGGTGTGGGTAAGGCTCCTCAACTCCAGGCTTCCCTGTAGGCTGAACTGTCTGCTGGGTTTCTTTGGCAAATTCTTCATGTCAGTATTCTACATCTTTTGGGTTAGTCAGATTCTTGAGAAAAGTAGCTTCCAATTTTCTGCCCAAAGGTATAAAGCTGGCCAGACTTTTAGGAGCCTAGTTGGGGAAAGTGTTTTGTATTTGGACTAGCAAAAAGAACACACACAGGACTTTGGTAGTATGAAATTCAAGGTTCTTTCCATGAATTAAGAACAGAGTAATGGATAATGGAATAAGCCTTATTCTGGTTATCTTCATTTATTTTTTAAATTTTTATTTATTTATTTTTTTAGAGAGAGTGTGTGCACAAGTGGGTGGGGGAGAGTGGCAGAGGGAGAGAAAGAGGGAGAATCTTAAACAGGCTCCATGCTCAGCACAGAGCTTAATGTGGGGCTCAATCCCATGATCCTAGGATCATGACCTGAGCTGAAGTCAAGGGACACTCAACCAACTGAGCCATCCACGTGCCCTTGGTTATCTTCATTTTGCCCCAAAACTTACTGGCTTAAAACATGTCATTGATGCTAATGGTCTCTCTTGGTCAGGAATTCGGACCGGGCACAGGAAGAATGGCTTGTCTCTGCTCCATGATGTCAAGGGCCTCAGCTAAGAAGACTCAGCACTGGGGGGTGTCTTGACACATAGGGACTTGAATCATCTTCTTTCCATGACTGGTGGTTGATGCTGGCTGTGGGTTGGGTCCTCACCTGAGAATGGGGAATGCATCTGCATGTGGCCTCTCCAAAGCTTGCGCTTTCTTTCAGCCTGTGGCCTCAGGACAGTTAAACTTCTCTCATGGTGTCTCAAGGCTCCATTAGGGGTGTTGTAAAGAGTGTGGTAGGAAGCTGTATGTTTGCTCACCCTGCCTTGGAAGTCAAGCTGTGTCACTTTTCCTGCATTCTGTTAGTTACAGGTAATTCACAAGGCCACCTGGATTCAAAAGGAGGGGACATAGACTTCCACTTCATGATGGGAGGAGTATCAAGGTTGGATTCTAAGAAGAGCACATAAGATGAGAGAGATGGCTGTCATTATCTTGGAAGATGTAGTCTTTCACAGGCCCGGAGTTGGGGATTAGGAGATTGTGGGTGCAGTGATAGTAGTAAGTGCTGCAGGGTTGTGGCAGAGGGACTAAAGACTTCAGAACATTGGCAGGCCTGCCTAAAGAGGACAAGACTTCCGAAAGGAGTTTGCCTTCATGAGTTTTCTCAGGAAGTGGATTGGACTGGCCAGTTAGAGGTACCTTAACTTCCCAGTAGAGGAAACTGAGAGTCAGAGGGGCTAATGAACACTGGAGAGAGTTCGTGATAAAGCCAGACTAAAATCTGGGTATTCTGACATTTAGCCTAAGTTCACGTTGGGAAATTTCCATTTTTAGTTCTTTATGATTGTAAAGAGATTTGGCACAGGTAATAGAAGCTTTTGAGTCATGATACTTTCATTTTAAAACATTTTTTGATATTTAAAACTTTATTCCAAAACTTCTGATCTGCTGTGTTAGGTTGACAGAGGAATGGAAGTATTGAATTCTGTCATGGCGAGTTCATTTTATCTGTTGGTGTTCATTAAGAAAATGTATAAGAATTCTGTCTCCTTTGAGGTTTATATAGTAGGACCAGAAGAGAGGATTCGGCTATTCTGGCTGAACTGTTAAAACACACTTCTTTACCTTCTTGTTTATCAGGAAGCTCAGAACCTCATGGCCCTGACCAATGTGGACACCCCATTGAAAGGTGGACTTAATACCCCTTTGCATGAGAGCGACTTCTCAGGTGTGACTCCACAGCAGCAGGTTGTACAGACTCCAAACACAGTTCTTTCTACCCCATTCAGGTATTGTAAACGAATACATCTTTATTGTTTTAGAAAAACTTCAAGGATTTAGACAACATGTTTGTTTTAGTAATGTTGACAGAGAATGGAAATAAGTATTTAACATGGCTTTTTGATTTCTTCTCATTCATGGTAGTAAATAACATAATAATACCCAGGAGTTGGTTATTACTGTATGGAACTGTCTTCTTTTTTCAGAGTTTCTGATGCTATCACCTTTTTTCTGAATACATTTTATCTGATTTATTGACTTAAAAAAAATTTTTTTTAATTAAAAAAAAAAAGAATCTGAAACAGGCTCCAAGCTCTGAGCTGTCAGCACAAAGCCCAACATGTGGCTCGAATTCATGAACTGCAGGGTTGTGACCTGAGCCGAAGTCAGATGCTTAACCAACTGAACCACCAGGCACCCCCATTTTATCTGCTTTAAAAGAACAAATCAGTCCATTGTTCGTTTGATCATTTGTTGAATTTTATAAAAATTGTAGTCCTTTATCTGTATGTGTTACTATTGCTTTTCTCCCAACATTTTTTTTTTTTTTTGAGAAAGAGAGAGAGAGAGAGATAGCAAGCAGGAGAGGGGCAGAGAGAGAGAGGGAGAGAGAATCTTAAGCAGGCTCCATGCCCTTTGTGGGGCTTGATCTCATGACTGTGAGATCATGACCTGAACTGAAAACAAGAGTCAGATGCTTAACCGATTAAGCCACCCAGATGCCCCATATCCCAACATTTTGTTTTGAAAATTTCTAACATTCAGAGAGGTTAAAAGAATGGGAAAGCAAACATCCATATTTCACCATCTAGATTCTACAGTTGTTAACATTTTACCGTATTTGCTTTTCACATATCCATCCGTCAGTCCATCTAATTATTTAGTGCTTTTCAAAATAAGTTGCAGGTTTCAGTCCGTTTCACTTCTAATACTTTCTTGTGCTTATCATTAACTAGAGTCCAGAGTTCAGTCTTTGTTTATGATTTTTTTTTAAGTTACTATTTTTTAAGAGGAATTTTTTAGATAGAAACCTTGTGGAAGCAGGTCATATTAAAATGAAATTTGAGCTTTTAAGTTTGGAAATCTTTTAGGTTCGTTTTTAATTTTCAGTGTTAGGATATATCCTCGTACTGGTTATTTAGTATGGGAGTGTCTCAAACTGTTACAACTGTGCCTGACAGCAGGATCAAGAAGCATTGGCAGCCAAATCCTAATATACAACTTAACACTTTGGCAGGGCTTGTAAGAGAGCCTAATCCTTCTTTCCCTGTGTATGTCTTGTCTCTCAACTAGATTGTAAGCTCCTTGGGGGTAGGGACCCTGTCTTTTGATAACACCTCATCTCACCTTTGGGAACATCTGCCTGGCAGATCACTTGTCTGGAACAGAGCTAAGGTATAGGAAGTAAGCACCCAGCCAACCAACCAACCAACCAAAAACAGGCTTTGAACAACTAAGATATCAGTTGCAAAGTCTGTGGATTTTATTTATTGCTAAGAGAGTCTCAGCCCTCACTCAGAACTGTTCATATGTAGACATGGTATTCAGTTTCCAAACAGAACGTAAAGGAGGAACCGCTGAAGTGAATGCATACCTATGATAGTGGTGTTCTAGCCAGCAGCTACTGGTGGTGAGGGGCAAATGATAAGATGAAGACACTATTTGAACTTATAAACAGTTTCCTAGGGGTCTTTGAGCATTATGGCTGCCCTCTGCCCATGGTATGTTCTTAGCCACCCCACAATGCATCAAGAAAAGGTTGAAATAATGTTTGGTGGGCCTAGTTTAGCAAGGCAAGAAAATGTCAAATGTAATAACTTTACTTGAAGTCATTAAAATAAAAATACTGTGTGTAAATACTAAGCTAGTTGAACTAAACTTGTACTCCAACGTAGAGATCTCACTTAAAACCAGGTAGGAAGACAGATATTCTGCAATCTTAGTTTCTTTCATGCTTTCTTTGTAAAATAATTTATGTGAAAAATATTTGGAAGCACAATCCAGATAAAATTGGCACTTTTATTAATTGGAATTTCTGTCTTTCTAGGACTCCTTCTCATGGATCTGAAGGGTTGACTCCCCGCAGTGGGACAACTCCCAAACCAGTTATTAACTCCACCCCGGGTAGAACTCCTCTTCGAGACAAGTTAAACATTAATCCCGAGGATGGAATGGCAGACTACAGTGATCCCTCTTATGTGAAGCAGATGGTACGTGTCAAATCCCTTTAATATTCTTTTTTTTTTTTAAACTGTTCTATTTCATGGACGTTGTATTAAAATATTTTCCCTTGTTGGTGCATATTACATATACTTTAAGATAACTGTACACCTATGGATTCCAGAAAAGGAAAATGATTTATAGAACTTGAGAAGGAGAACCTTTTGGTCTCCTAAGCCTACTTACTCTTTTTTTTTTTTTTAATTAAAAAAAAAATATTTATTTATTTTTGACAGAGAGAGAGGGAGCATGTGAGTAAGGGAGGGGCAGAGAGAGAGGGAGATACTGAATCCAAAGTAGGCTCCAGGCTCTGAGCTGTCAGCACAGAGCCTGACGTGGGGCTCGAACCCATGAACCATAAGATCATGACCTGAGCTGAAGTCGGACGCTCAACTGACTGGGCCACTCAGGTGCCCCTAAGCTGACTAATTTTTAATGTGTTTGTGAATACTGATTATGCTGATAGTAGTTCTCCTTGTATGTCATATGATTTTATTTTTTATCATTTACTAATTAATAGTTTACTTTCTTGAATGGCACTCTTTTTTCTTTAACTTCTGTAAAACAAATTGTGAGTTTGGAATGCCTCATAAATTAGATTTTGAGCCTTGATTCTTGTTTGCTCTAGACTTTTAGAAGAACTATCTAGATCTCAAAGCCAAATTAAGTTGATGTTTATTGCTTATCTTAGTGAAGTTTTCTTTTGTATATTTTGCAAGCTGATACAGACAGCTAATCATAAAAGCCACAGTTTTGTTTCTGCCCATGTTATTGCTTTTCTTATGTCACTCTTGGGTCTTATATGATGCCACAGAAAAGCATTGTGAGTTTTTTTGTTTTTTTTTTAATGAGTTCCAGCGATACCTGTTTTTAGTTTACAAATTAATTCTAACCTAGTGTATAGATTTGGTTAGTTTAGAATTTTTTATTAAAAAGAGTGTTTTTTTTACTGTTTATTTTTGAGAGAGAGAGAGAGAGAGTGCGCAGGCTGGGGAGGGTAGAGAGAGAGGGAGACACAGAATCCAAAGTAAGCTCCAGGCTCTGAGCTGTCTGCACAGAGCCTGACGCTGGCTTGAACTCACGAACCATGAGATCATGACCTGAGCTGAAGTTGGACGCTTAACTGACTGAGCCACCCAGGCATCCCGAGTTTAGAATTTTTTTTTTTTTATTTTTTATTTTTTTTTTTTTAAATTTTTTTTTCAACGTTTTTTTTTATTTATTTTTGGGACAGAGAGAGACAGAGCATGAACGGGGGAGGGGCAGAGAGAGAGGGAGACACAGAATCGGAAACAGGCTCCAGGCTCTGAGCCATCAGCCCAGAGCCCAACGCGGGGCTCGAACTCACGGACCGCGAGATCGTGACCTGGCTGAAGTCGGACGCTTAACCGACTGCGCCACCCAGGCGCCCCTGGTTTAGAATTTTTTTAATGCCCAGCTTGATATCAAGTAATGTCAACTGTGAATGGCTACATAATAGCTAAACAAATGAATTTAATGTGTGCAGAGCGCTGATTTGGAGACTTCAGAGGATCTAAAGTTGAGTAAAGATGTCCTTTGTCTTAAGGAAGTTTATACTCTGGAGAGATTGACAGTGCTAAACCAAGTCCACAAATAATTGTAACGTAAGAACAAAATAAGCTTTCTGTGTAAAACCAACATGCTTGGGGGGGCCAAAGACGGAAATAATGGTGGGTACTAGGAAAACCTTCGTTGAGGTATGCTCAGAAGGAGAGGTGGGGGCTGTCTCAGATAGAGGCCACAAAACGAGTAAGCATGGAGTGTATTTTGGACATAGCAGGTCATCTGGTTGGGCCTCACACCTACCATACGTGTAATGGAGCTATGGGGAATAAAAGGTAAGCCAAGGATGTACTGGGGAAAACTTTGGGTACCAGGCAGTTTCTTTTGGGAAGTGTGGACTGTATTCTTTGGTCTAGTCATTTCTTCCTTTCTTTTTCTTTTTTTAATTAATTTGTTTTTAAGTAAATTGTACCCTCAATGTGGGGTTTGAACTCAAAACCCCAAGATCGAGAATCACATGCTCTATTGACTGAGCCAACCAGGCACCCCATGATTTGGTAATTTCTATTAAAAATAAACACACACAAAAACTCAGGCATCTTTTCAGATTAGATTTTATTAGTCCAAGAACAAATTGACTTCTGAATTTGTTCTTTCATTTGCTATTAAATTTCCTGGTCAGAAATGTATTCCTTAAATGGAAATTCTAAAGGATTTTTTTCTGCCCTGCAGAGATAATTCCCAAACCTTCTATTAGAATATCCGAGAGTAACTTTACGGATCACAAATCAGAGTTTTTGGTCTTAATTTAGAGAAGAAACTGAGATAGAAATCAAACAAACTTGTCTCAGCTCTGAAATTAGGGTCATTTTTCTAGAATTAAAATTAGGCTAATTATTTTTTAGAAACTCTTAAGAATGGAGGTTGAATACTTAAGATGTATGAATTGAGAAGATCAATTTTTTTTCTACAGGAAAGAGAATCTCGTGAGCATCTCCGTTTAGGATTGTTGGGCCTCCCTGCCCCTAAGAATGACTTTGAGATTGTTCTGCCAGAAAATGCTGAGAAGGAGCTGGAAGACCGTGAAATAGATGATACTTACATTGAAGATGCTGCTGATGTGGATGCACGAAAGCAGGTGGGTAATTGTGCTAGAAAAGAAGTGTGAAGTCGCTGACTGTGTCAGTAGGCTGAAAGAATGAAGAATGGTCATTAAATGTGTCCATATTTAAAAGTTTTTTCAATATCTAAAAAAAGAAATTACCCTAAATTGCTTAACATAGTTAATAATATGTACTCATGTAATTAATAATATACAAGAATATCTTGATAGGCAGTCTTAAAATGTGTGTATGTATATGTGTATGTACATAATTTAAATACCTCCTGTCAAATTTATTATGCTTCTTTAAAATACACATACATGTTCTTTTAGACATTGCTTTTCACTCTAGCCAAGAAAAGGTGTTATTGATCAGTCTTAAAAACAAGTGCATGTTTAGTGCACAGAGCCCAAATTAGGATTCAGTCTTGTGAACTGTGAGATCGTGACCTGAGCCAAAATCAGGAGTCTGGTGCTTAATTGACTGAGCTACCCAGGCACGCCTAGGATAATTTTAGAAATGGAATTTCGTGGGACTCGAGTGTGAATAGCATCAATGTAAACGTATTTCAGAGAGAAGTCAACATGAATGTGCTTTTTATTTTTATTTATTTTTTAATTTTTTTTAATGTTTATTTATTTTTGAGACAGAGAGACAGAGCATGAACAGGGGAGGGGTCAGAGAGAGAGGGAGACACAGAATCCGAAGCAGGCTCCAGGCTCTGAGCTGTCAGCACAGAGCCCGACGCGGGGCTTGAACTCACGGACCATGAGATTATGACCTGAGCTGAAGTCGGACGCTTAACCGACTGAGCCACCCAGGCGCCCCTGAATGTGCTTTTTAGTTGGTAGTACAGGATAATACTTTATTTTTTAAGTTAATTTATTTTGAGACAGAGAGAGAGACATGGGGAGAGAGAACCTCAAAGCAAGCTCCGCACTGTGAGCACAGAGCCCAGTGCAGGGCTTGAACTCATGAACCATGAGATCATGACCTGAAGTGAAATCAAGAGTTGGATACTTAACACACTGAACCACCCACGTGCCCCCAGGATATTACTTTTTATGTTTAGTTTTCTTAGTTACTTTGCCCTACATTTACTCTCAGAAATGCCTTGAAATTCTAATATGTTAACTTACATTATTTGTGATTTAAGAATCAGGAAACAACACATTGGCTAGTTTTTTAAATTAAAAATCAGTAGCTTTTGGGGTGGAAGTGAGGGCTGTGTTGCAGGAGGAACAAATAAGAGTCCCCTCTAAGTTTAGGATTCCAATTGATTATTTAAATTTTTAAATTTTATTTTAATTCCAATTTAGTTAATATACAATGTGATATTAGTTTCAGGTGTACAGTATAGTGTTTCAACAATTCCATACCTCACCCAGTGCTCATCACGACTAGTACATTCTTTAATCCCATCACCTATTTCACCCATCCCTCCCACCCACCTCCTCTGTGGTAACCATCAGTTCTCTATAGTTAAGAGTCTGTTTCTTGGTTTGTCTCTTTTTTTTTCTTTTGCTGGTTTGTTTTGTTTCTTACATTCTACATATGAGTGAAATTTTATGGTATTTGTCTTTCTCTGACTATTTCACTTAGCATTGCACTCTCTAGCTCCGTCCATGTCGTTGCAAATGGCAAGATTTCATTCCTTTTCATGGTGGAGTAGTATTCCATGTTATGTATATATGTGTGTGTGTGTGTGTGTGTGTGTGTGTGTGTGTGTGTGTGTGTGTGTGTGTATGTATTACATCTTCATTATCTTTATAGGTATATATATACACGCACATATACACACCACAACTTCTTTATCCATTCATCAATCCATTGACATTTGGGCTGCTTCTGTAGTTTGGCTCTTGTAAATCATGTTGCTCTAAACATAAAGGTGCATGTCCCTTTGAATTAGTGTTTTTGTATTTTTTGGGCAAATGCCCCATAGTGTGATTCTGGATTGTAGGGTAGTTCTATTTTTAACTTTTTGAGGATCCTCCATACTGTTTTTCTCAGTGACTGTACCAGTTTGCACGCCCACCACCGGTGCTCAAGCGTTCCTTTTTCTTCACATCCTCGCCAATTGTTCTTTCTTGTGTTTTTGATTTTAGCCATTCTGACAGGTATGAAGTGATATCTCATTGTAGTTTTGATTTGTATTTCCCTGATGATGAGAGATGTTGAGCATCTTTTCATGTGTCCATTAGCCATCTTGATGTCTTCTTGGAGAAGTGTCTGTTCATGTCTTTTGCCCACTTTGTAACTATTTGTTTTCTCGTGTTGGGATGTATAAGTTCTTTATATATTTTGGATACTAACCTTTTCTTGGATATGTTGTATACAAATATCTTTTCTCATTCAACAGGTTGTCTTTTGTTGATTATTTTCTTCATTGTGCTTTTTATTTTGATGTAATTCCCATAGTTTATTTTTGCTTTTATATCCCTTGCCTCTGGAGACATATCTAGAAAAATGTTGCTACAGCTGGTGTCAGGGACATTCCTGCCTATGCTCTCTTCTAGGATTTTTATTAGAATTCCAAATTAAACAAGAAAAGAATGATTATCTGATGGATGGAGCCACATAAACTTGGAGAATGCTCTAGTAGCTGTTGGCAGTTCTTAGTTTGTATTGTAATGAGAGAATGAATAGACTGATTTCTGTTGCCTTATATTACCTTTCTACAAACTTACACAGACTTCGACAGCTTTAACTCTTGAACGTACATGTTCTTATACATGTTTTCAACTTTATTGAAATGTGGCAAATACCATATAGCTGTAATAATGGATATAAAAATAATTTTTTTAGGCTATACGAGAGGCAGAGCGTGTAAAGGAAATGAAGCGAATGCACAAAGCTGTCCAGAAAGATCTGCCAAGACCATCAGAAGTAAGTATTAGAATTTCTGGCTTAGGAAGTTTTGAGTTTCTTCTTATGTGATTGATGCTTTTATATCATTCATAAAGTTTGTGAAACAAAATATTATATTCTTTCTGGAATATAGTAAAGCACTTCCCAGATATAATGTAAAATGTTTTGCTGGTACAAATAAGACCTTAGAAGGAAAGCAAAATTCTTTTGAAAATGTAAAACTACTATTTAATTCATGCTAGAACAAGTAATAACATCAGCATTGGAGTGATAATGTTTGGTAATTGTACTTGTCTTAAAATTTTAGGTAAATGAAACTATTCTAAGACCCTTAAATGTAGAACCACCTCTAACAGATTTACAAAAAAGTGAAGAACTAATCAAAAAAGAAATGATCACAATGCTTCATTATGACCTTCTACATCACCCTTATGAACCATCTGGAAATAAAAAAGGAAAAACTGTAGGATTTGGTACTAATAATTCAGAGCACATTGCCTATCTGGAACATAACCCTTACGAAAAGTTCTCCAAAGAAGAGCTGAAAAAGGTATCATTGATTATAAAGTATTCATTAAATACTGTGTATAATGGGAAAACACTGTCTTTTCTCATTCTGATATTTATAAACAAGTGAATTTCATGATTAGGAGATAAATGTTCATAGTAAGTGTTATGAAGAAGACATACTTAATCCCCCCCCCCCCCCCCCCCCCCCCCCCCCCCCCCACTTTTCATTCAGTGACAGACCTTTTCCAGGTAAACACTGGCTTAGGTGGCGAGGTGTTTTGTTTCATGGGTGTATGCCTCATGGACAGTTGCTGCAAATTGCCATTTTCTGTGTTTAACTCTGCTACTTCTGAGTTGAATTGAATACCTTTAATACCTAAACCTCATTTATTTAGATTAATATGAAAAAGCAGGCATGCGTAAAAAATGTTTTTTTCACCTATTCAAAGAAAAGAAATATGGTTTTACTGAATCTTTTTCCCTTAAATCATTTCCCACTATCTTTTTAGATAAGGAAATGCAGGAACATTTTCTTGAATAAAGTCTGTCCTGCCTCTTCCTCCGTATGCATTTGATTTTTCTGTTCTGACAGAGCAAACAGCTGTGATTGCGAATAGAAATCTGTTCCATGGTATGAGAAAATACAGTTGGTGTCATTGTTGGAAGCAGAGTGGTCATTAGCTTTAGTCTTATTTCTTTAGTCCTTAGCCCTGAGGGGCAGTTATAGACTTGTTGATTGGAATGGGTTATTGAATACTTGGGGAGAGAATCCCTACAATATATATATATTTTTTTCTGTCTTCTCTCCTGCTCTTTACCTGTATTTTTTTCTTGCTTTCTATTTTCCTTTTTGCAAAAGTAATACGTGTTTATTGAAGGATTTTTAGAAATTAGAGAAAGGAAGGACAGTTTGCCCCTGATTTCTGAGTAACCTTGAATTACTCTTAGTAAGTATGATAGGAAACTGACATCTGTTGAATGCTTACACTTGTGGCAGGCACATTTTACCATTGGACTGGGGTTGAGAATTACACTCTGAACTCCATACTTGAACAGTCTCCTCTTTTTAAAGTGAAAATAGGGGAAGATGGGATTTGAGAAATTTACTGTGTGTATGGAAACCTGAAATAAGGATCACATTGTTACGTAACAGAAGGTTCTGTGGGGAATCGATTCTAATAAAACTTTTTTTTTTTTTAATTTTTTTTTTTTTTCAATGTTTATTTATTTTTGGGACAGAGAGAGACAGAGCATAAACGGGGGAGGGGCAGAGAGAGAGGGAGACACAGATTCGGAAACAGGCTCCAGGCTCTGAGCCATCAGCCCAGAGCCTGACGCTGGGGCTCGAACTCAATGACTGGGACAGAGATCGTGACCTGGCTGAAGTCGGACGCTTAACCGAGCCACCCAAGCTAATAAACACAAGAAGTTGCTCTGTCAAGTGAGTACTTTAAAATAGAATTATTGGAAACCATTACAAAGTAGTTTGAATTTTTTTTTTTTAAGTTTATTTTGAGAGAGAGGGTGAGTAGGGGAGGGGCAGAGAGGAGAGAAAGAGAGAGAGAATCCCAAGCAGCCTCTGCTGTCAGTGTGCAGCCCTATGCAGGGCTCAAACCCATGAACCATGAGTGAGATCGTGACCTAAGCTGAAATCAAGAGTTGGGTGCTTAACTGACTGAGCCACCCATGCAGCCCTAGTTTTTTTTTTTTTTTTTTAGTTTAAATATTCTTTCATATTTTATTGTATATATTTATATTCTTCTCTCTTCCAAAATGAATTTGAAACAGCATTTACTTAGCGAGCAGATTCTCTATGGGCAGTTTAAAGATAAATTAGTAGGGCGCCTGGGTGGCTCAGTTGGTTGAGCGTCCGACTTCAGCTCAGGTCATGATTTTGTGTCTGTGAAGTTGAGCCTTGTCACCGAGCTCTGTGTGAGACAGCTCAGAGCCTGGAGCCTGTTTCAGATTCTGTGTCTCCCTCTCTCTCTGCCTGTCCCTCCGCTCGTGTTCTGTCTATCAAAAATAAATAAACATAAAAAAAAAAAATTAAAGATAACTTAGTACTACTGTCTTCTAATAATGATAAGAGCTGAATTTGTAAATTTTTACTGTGTACAGTTTTGGAGTGAAACACCATTTCTGTTACTATGAAATGTTGGGTTTTCATTAAGTGTGTTAAAATTGGTTTGTTTTTGTTATTTTCTCAGAGATCTTGTTTAAAAATATCCGTTTTTTATCTTCTATAGACATGATTTTCCGTTGTTTTAAGTTTTTGTATTTGATTTTATTATATATTTTGGTCTTTGATGTACTGGAATGATCGAAAGCTGTCTTTAAGGCACAAAACGATAGTTGTCAGTTTTGAGCCAGGATGCAAAGGGCTGGAAAAAGTTGATGTGGTATGCTTGTGGAGTCCTTGGGTCTCGAGTTGGGCCACACTCTGTGTGTATGTTTTATCATTTAATTCTGATAACAAACATGTCAGGTGGGTATTATCCTCATTTTACAGATGAGAAATGGGCTCAGAGATGTTAAGCAAGTTCAGACAGCTACTTAAATGGTAAAGGTATGATATGTACCCAGGCCTGTCCAACTTTATCTCTCCTCATTCTGTCATCTTAAACTCTCTTTAGTAAAGTAAAAGCTGGTGTGTGAGCCATTATTATTTGATCTGTGCCCCCATCTCATTCTTTGGCAATGTCAGGGGCATCTCTTCAGATGAGAAAAAAGGCATGTATCAGAAGCAATAAATGCCTGGTTCCCCTTCATAATTCTGTGAAGTGTGAAGTGTATGGAGGAATTGGTAGAGTGGAAGGAGCACACCCAAGCGAAGGTACCATTCGGCTTGGGGCATGATCTTGTCTTGCCTTTATTAGTGTGATGTGTTTTTGAAAAATTGCTTAATCTTTCTGAGCCTTAGTTTCATCATCTTTAATAAGAGAGTAATACCAGCTACTTTGTAATGTGTTAATGGTGTTTGGAGATAATGTAGATAAAAATTTTAAATTGAGTTCTTGGCATAGAGTAGATGTCCAAGAAATGGTAGCTACTGTTAATAATAGGGTGAAGGCAAAGATGTTTATTGGTGATATATGGAAGCTTGACTTTCAAATCAGTCTGTGTCAACTTACTGGCTTCTTAATTCATTTTGTTTAGATATTGTTCCCCCCTTCCAAAACGAAAAACAAAAAAAACCAGTCAACCACAACACCTTGCCTTTACCCAAAGAAAGAGGAAAAATTAGTTTTTTAAAGTTCTCTCTTGATAGCAAGTAATTCTGGTACCCAAGCTTACTGAAATTATTACTGTACACAGGCCCAGGATGTTTTGGTACAGGAGATGGAAGTGGTGAAACAAGGTATGAGCCACGGAGAACTCTCAAGTGAAGCTTATAACCAGGTGTGGGAAGAATGCTACAGTCAAGTTTTGTATCTTCCTGGGCAGAGCCGCTACACACGGGCCAACTTAGCTAGCAAAAAGGACAGAATCGAGTCACTTGAAAAGAGGCTTGAGGTTGGTATCCTTTTAAAATTCTAATTTAAATATACCTTGATTGAGACAATGGACCAAGTAATAACCACTGGAGACAATTACAGAAAAATAGACCTGAGGCAGTTACTGGTTTTGCAATTCTTGCCTTTTTTTTTTTTTTTAAAGTCTATTTCTTTTGTTTAGTGATGTCTACACTCAGTATGGGGCTCAAACTCACGACCCCATGATCAACAGTTGCATGCTCTTCTGACTGAGCCAGCCGAGTGCCCCTTGCTTTTGCAGCTCTGGAGGGAAAACTGTACTAAAGTGTTTGGTCTTGTTTGGCTTTCATTAATTTTTCAGAATTGCTGGCCTTTATGATAAAGAATGGTGCCCTCCAGGTTGATCACAGGTCAAACAGGACCTTTTAAATGTGGGAGCAAGGAAGACAAGAAGTTAACACTGGTCACCCAGAACAATGTCCATCAATGCTAGAATAGCTTGTTTTCTGTAAAGAAGGATCTCAGTGGTACCAAGGAGCTTTTTTTTCTGGAGCCAAGAGAGCACATTCATGTAACTTTGGTTCCTTTCTGTTCATTCTCTGATTCCTTTGGGTTTGTTAGAGAGCACCGAGCTGGATTATCTTAGATAATAGCTTCTGTGATTTTTTTCACATCTGAGGAAATGTTGAAATGTACTAGATGGGAGTTTCATGGCACATGGTTTCTTAATATAGTCTGCAGGTTTTGAATTCCAGAATCTGTGTAGGCATTTGGCCAATGGCATGTAAATTGTGGTTCGTGGACCACTGGGCTGTCTTGTGGATTTTTCAAGGTGGTCTTCAGGGATGTTTCTGAGGCTAGGGTAGGGTGGGGAGAAAAGGGTGCTTCAGGCAGTCACATGCAGAAATGGCCTCAATTTCCTCCTTTGTGATTACTAATTTCTCTTTACAGAAAGCAAATTGGAAAATATTTTTATTTAGAGTTAAAAATAGCAGTACCACTTGGAGTGGTTGGTATCATGTGGGGCTAGGGAAATGAACAGGAAAAAGAGTTCTTGTAATATGAAATTATTCTAAGTCTTAATTTTACCTTTAAGACTACACGTATAGGCATCTGGTGGTTAATGCCTTTGAGCCTCTTTTATCACTTAGTGGGAAATTAGTTTCTCTTTGAAGTAATTCTCATCGTGGGTGAAATCTTTGCAGTCCAGTTGCTGCTTGTTACTCCGTTGTACTGCTAACTTCCAGCAGGGTGTGCTGTTGTTCTGTGTTTTAATTTGGGATTTAAAGTCAGGGCAAGTAGAACATCAGTGGGCACATTTTGAGTTACATTTTCTGTTGTGTTGGCTTCGTTTATTTATAAGTGGTAGTTAGCAGTGTAATCCTGATCTAAGGTCAGCATTGTAATTGATTAGAAAGCTATTTGGAAAGCTTTCTTGTAACCTTTATATATAAATACTTCGGTCTCTCACTTAGTTTGAAAATCTTCTCATTTGAGGTGGGTAAACGTTTTCTGCCCCACGTGGTAAGGACATTTTGTGCTCTTTAAAATATAAAAAAAGTTTTTCCCTAAATCTCATTTACTTTGCTGAGGCACTAACTTTCGTGACAGCAAATAAATGTGTCACGAAGTGAGTGGTGCCATAAAGTACAGTAATTTTTATTTTTATGTTGAATTGGTCTTGTGAGTTTTGAAGGGAAAAATACAGAAAGAACCACTGCCGTTCTTTTGGAGATTTATTTGGGTCGTTTATGAGCAACCATTAAAAACATGTGGCTCTCTTTGTTCAGTTCAGTACCAGGAACTGAAATCTTCCGTTGAACTATTTTTGTTGAAGGATTGGTGATTTTGGAAGAATATTCATAAAACAGTCTGAAGTAATTTTTCTTTTCTTGACTTCTGGATAACTTACTTTATTGTTTACCCAGCTAGTTACTTTTAAAGAATATGTAATCAAATCCTTTAATTTAGTAAACTACACTTATTTCAAATGAAAGTTCATTAAATCTTTAAAAAGAAGAAAAGAGACTCAAAAACCCAAATAAACAACTCCCCCATTTTATTTGTATCCATCCCTAATTCAGAACTAGGCTTGTGTTAGCTTATTTTAGTTTTTGAAGACACAATTCTCCTGGTTTGAAATACATAAATATTTTATTTCAATTGTGGTAATTCTTTCATCATCTCAGTTGATTGCTAAATTATAAACACTATTCAAAGTTTGTTGTGGGGAAGGAACTCCAGTTGTATTATATAAACTAAATGCTATACTTAAATTATTCTTTCCACTCTTAGGTTCAGGGAGATATGCCTTTCTGTGCAAGCACAATACACCATGGCTGCCAGTGTGTTTGATTTTTGCTGTCATGAACTTTGGAACAGCGAATCTAAATTATGGCCCTATCACAGTGTATCAAGCAAGATGAAATCCAGCTTTGTCGTGGTTGGTGTCTCCTAAATGGATTAAAAAATATGCCCTGAGGTTTATATTGGAGCTGGGTCTTTGAGCCATTACTCATGATTAGTATTTGAAATGCAGAATTTAAATGAAAATCCTTAGGATACTCACTTAAAACTAATGGAACCATCTCAGATTTTATGTAGAATGTGGTGGGTGGTGTAAGGAGTCTGTTAAATAAATGGAATCAGAAAGTAGTCACAGGTCAGAAGTAAGTGGGAAAGACTTCTGAGTTGTAACCAAGTTCATGTGTTTTATTCTGCTTTGGAGGCAGAATTAATTTTAGAACTGTGCCATACATTTGTGTGTCACACAAGGCAGCAGCAGCAGCAAACAAATGATAACTGATATCAGAAAAGGAAAAGTTAGAAAGCATAGCATGTCGAGGCCATTTAGATACAGTATTTTATTAGCTTCTGAGGGCATTATGGGTGTGTGGTGGGAGAGCAGAGTGATTGCTATCTGTAGTGATGCCCCAGGTATTTAAAAAAAATGGTTAATTTCTGCTCACTGTTATATATATATTTTTAAAGAAGGATGCCTAAAATAGTAGGAAAATTTTGTATCAAATGGTAAAAAATAAAAGGACTTTATAGTCCTTGATGTGATCGTATGTTCAGTGACTATTACTGAGCATCTAATATGTGCCAGCCGTTGTTCTAGCACCTGGGAGCGTAGCAGGAACATAGCGGACAAGCTCTATGCTCTTGTGGACATCAGTTATCTGGAAAATGCTTCATGTGGAGGAGAACCTCATTTTCTGATGATGCCAGATAAATGAGTCATTACTGTATTTGGGAAGTGCAAATAGAATTTGAAGTGTTCTAATTTGTTTCCACTTTAAGTGGAAATAGGAAATCGTCTGAAGACATAATTATTTTGAGTGAAATAATTTCCAGGAGGTGCAAAAGTGAAAAGAGAAGTCTGAATTTAGGCCTGCTATTAAATTTAATAGTATTTGAAATGGTATCTAAACTGCTGCGTTGAGGAAGTTTGGCTGAAAAGTAGATTTTGTCATGTTAGCTATAAAAATGGAAAGGCTTTCCTTAGAGGTGGAAACTAGGTCCAGAAGTAATACTTCTCTCTGTATTTTACTGGCACAGTCAACTTAGTCAAGAAATATTATGTAACATCGACTTCTTGGAAATAAAGTAACTTGAAAAACACAGATAACACATCTTTCTCAGTGTACTTGTAGAACTCTTAGGAGCACCCCTGACTTTACTGAATGGTTATATTTCAGCAAAATTGGCTGTACAATGGATCATATTTTCTCAGTGATTTTATTTATAAAGTCAGATATTTTTACATAGGAAAAAATTCCCTTAATACTTTAAAGAGTGAAAATTTAGGGTAAGGATCAAGTTGTTGGGCAAATCTGGATGGAGGACTGTATGTTGAAGTAACTCGGCAGGTTTATGTTCTCTTGTGCGTGTGGGGGAGGGGTGACATGGGGCACAGGAGAGAAGTTTCTGGTACTCTGGAATGCTCCCTTTCTCAAATTCTGCTCTGTGCTTTGACCGTTAAGGGCACTGGCAGATTTCTTGCTTTTTCTATCAAGAAGAGCTGGACCAGAGATCTCCTTGGTACAGTCGTGTTGCTTCTGTTATGCCTCAACGTTGAGTTGAATTTCTTTCATGCAGTTTATGTGTTTCATTTCCTAGCTCATGCAGATGTCAGGTGCTCTTGGTATTGCTTTGTTGGTACATTACTGTTCTCGGAAAGGTTTTTGGTAAGGTTTTTTGCCTTACTGTTTAGCTTGCTTTGTCGGGATGCAGTCTGGTGGATGCTAACTCTGGTAGATGCAAGCAATAATCACATGCTTGGACCTGCATCTCGTCAGTGTGGAGAAGGTTCACTGATACGATTTAATGCTAGCGAGTAGTATAGAGATGAAAGGAAAGGCACTGATGGGCTCTTGTTGTTTGCAAACATTTCGGTGGTTGAACCACATCGTTACTACCATAGGATCATATTGCTAAACGATGGACTAGGAAGTGGAGCTGCCATCAACTATGTATTTATTTTGGGTATCCTTAAACCTGTTTTTCCAGTGGTGTAAAGTTATATTCTGGGCCTCCAAGCAAGAGTTTCACTGAGGGATGCTCTTAATGTTTCTGAACCTCACTGTAACAGACTTTAACTGAAGACAGTATTGGAGACCCAAGGATAATGTGTTTATTTTGGAATTACTTAAGCTTAGTAACCTTAACAAACTTAGTGAGTTTGAAAGTAACAATTACACTTTTATAAGTCCCATACAGCCCCCTTTTGTAATGACCCGAGGAAACACTTATGGTTCCACTGATTCATCTCCTGGGGACCATCAGTTTTCCATTGGTCTCTGGCCAGCCTTTTTTAGACAGTTTCTCTTCTATGCATTTAAAAAATAACATTTGTGGGCGTTTTTCTAAAAATAATACCTGTACTTTGTAGAAAATTTAAAAAGAAATTAAAAAACAATTTGAAAAGAAGCCTACCATCCAAACATAATCGCCTTATACATTTTGAGGGATATGTATGTGTGTGTATATCTATTAATATATGTGTGTGTGTATAATTAAATATAGAAAAAAATTACT